TATTATTATTTTGTATCTGCAGCAGAAGATGCCAAGCAGAAACCTGATGATGCCAAGCCTGCAGATGACAAAGAAGAAAGTACGGAAGTGGTATTCTCTCTCTCCCTCTGTCTCTCTCGGAAAAAAGCCCAATGTATAGGAAGGGAGAGTTGAACTGGATGTTAAGCTATTTAAGCTCATCAGAAATGCCGTGTTCTAAAGCTTATGCCTGTACTCTTTTACTGCTTCTTCTCCTGTAACATTACACTGCCTTTGTGCAAATGATGCTCAGCGTGCATCCCCTCCAATGGAGGGCTGGGAGAGTGACAACAGAGCAAAGATAATCTTTCTTGATCCAGTGTGTTCTTAGTCTGTGGAACTCCTTGCCACATGACATAGTGATGGTGTCTGGCCTAGATGCTTTGAAAACTGGCTTAAAAGGAAGGGACCTCAAAATACCAGACTCAGAGAAGGGATATCAGGAGACAGGTCTCTTGTCTCGTGTGCTTCCAGAGGCATTTGGTGGGGCCATTGCAAGACACAGGAAGCTGGAATAGAGGGGCCCTTGGGCTGATCCAGCTCTTATGCTGTCAATGAAGTACCACTTGGGAGTCAGGGTGGTTCAGAATGCAGAGGAGGGACCAGACACAGATTTTTTCCAGCCATCAGCACAATTACCCCTGGAAGTTACCCACCTAAGGAAAGTCAAAGTAGTGTAGCAAAGTGGTCTGCATGGACTTCTCTTCTCTGGCATTAAAAAGATGATAGCATATGTGAAAAGTTGAATAATGTTTTTTTTTCTTTCATAGATTTTGACTGTTAACAACTTTGATACTTTAGAGATGTATTGTCTGCCTTCTGTTTTTTAAATGTGTCTTTTAAGGTTATAAGCTCCTCCATGTTTAGAATGTAACTAACACATTCTTCTTGATACTTTATTGTACTTTTTATGCTCCTGTATTTTGAGCCAAATTCTGACTTCAATATTTGCCTGAAACTTAACTTTAATCTACATATATTTGTAAGAATCTATGTTCACACTTTTTTCTTAGCTGTAAGACTTCCAAATTTTTACAACATTGTATTCGTGAAGGCTTTCACGGCCAGGATCTAATGGTTGTTGTGGGTTTTTCGGGCTCTTAGGTCGTGTTCTGAAGGTTGTTCCTCCTAACGTTAGGCCAACACTGCCTAACGACCAGCTATTTCCAGTGGGATAATGAATTCTATGAACAGACAGATGGAGTGGCCATGGGGAGCCCCCTCAGCCCGGTTATAGCAAACTTCTACATGGAGCATTTCGAAAAACTTGCCCTAGCTTTGGCACCCGTTGCACCCATGGTCTGGTTCCAATATGTGGATGACACCTTCGCAATTTGGAGCCACGGTGAAGAAAAATTGGAAGTATTTCTGAACCATCTCAACAGCATCCACCCAAATATACAATTCACAATGGAAAAAGAAATAGAGGGCCAACTCCCGTTCTTAGATGTCATGGTCATATGCAAAACTGTCCTCCAACTGGGACATAAGGTCTACAGAAAGCCCACCCACACAGACTGGTACCTACACAAAAACTCCGACCACCACCCACAATAAAAAAGAGGCATAATCGAAACACTGGTAGACCATGCAAATCGGAACTGTGGACCTCAGTTTCTCGGCACCGAACTCAACCATCTGACAACACCAAGGTGAAGAAGAAAAACAGCCACCCACAAATAAAGTATTTCTACCATACATCAAAGGGTCATGGACGGCATAAGGAAACTTTTGAAAAAACACAACCTGTGGTGGGCTTGAATACCAAACAGTATTCAAGCCCACCACAAAAATGCAACAAATGTTACGGTCAGCAAAGGACAGAAGGGACCCCCTCACCACTGCAGGAGTATACCGGATACCTTGCAGTTGTGGCCAGGTATACATTGGAACCACAGAACAAAGCATCCACACCAGAATCAAAGAACATGAGAGACTCTGCAGACTAAAACAACCAGAAAAATCTGCAGTAGCTGAACATGCCCTAAAACAAGCTGGACATGAAAATCTATTTCAAAATACTGAAATACTGGACAACACCAGAAATCATTACATCAGACTGCACAGGAAAGCCACTGAAATCCACAAGCACCAGCAGAACTTCAACAAAAAAGAGGAAAGTTTGAAACTCAACAAAACTTGGCTTTCAGCTCTGAAAAATACAGCGTGCAATAGGTCAACGACCTCTACCCAGCCACAAGGACCGGGGATCACTACACACAAAAGACCAGCTAATGACACCCATCAATCACAGTGACAGATAATCTCTCCTCCTTATCACAACAATACACCCACAACAAGACACAATAATTACCCATCTCCTGAAAAGGACAATAGCTGATCTCACAGCCATAAATACCCAACTTCCACACAAACTGCACCAGAGCAAAGAGTGCTGTCCTCTGAAGATGCTGGCCACATTAGGAAGAACAACTTTCAGAACACGGCCAAAGAGCCCGAAAAACCCACAACAACCATTTTACGACAGTCCTGAGTTATATGGAAGCATGTGGAACATAGAAGCAATGTAGAAATAAAGCTTGTTAAATTAGAAAAGCCAATGCTGCCTGGAATAATTGCATCAATAAAAAGACTTATAGGTGATACCCAAATGAGCTTTGTTATGACTGGAAAAGCTGGTGTGATTTCATTTTGGAATCAACTCCCCTTTTATTATTGGTATAAATGCCAACTGTGATGAACACAGGTTCTTATTTTTCCCTAGACGACTATAAACTTCCGTAGGGCAATGTTCAGGGAAATGTCTCAGGGAAATGTTCAGGCATCAGACAAGGAGATTTTGGAGGTCACTCATTGAAAGGGTTGCCATGAATTGCAAGCAACTTGACAGAACTTGAAAGCATTCTTTGCTCGAGAGCAATGATGCCCAACCTGTGAGACAAGTACTCCCAGGGGTACAAACCACGGAATTTATGGATATGTGAAAGAGGCACATATGTCAACAGTCTAAGACAAAATAGTCCTGTTTTAGGGGGAAACTGCTATCCTTTGAGGCTTCCAGGATTCATGGTTCTCCTTTTGAATAAAAAAGGGTTAGTTCCCCCCCCCCGCTCTTGTGTTTTTCCTCTTAATGAATTGGAAGGGAATACATATGGCAGGTGGGTTATGTGGTGCCCCATGTCCCACCTCAGATTGTGAACATTTGAATATAATTACTATGGAATATTAGTTGCACATCACTAAAGATTTTCCCCCTTTTATCCCTCCAGAAAAACCACTCAAGGAAAAACTCAAAGATTTTTTTCAAAGTACCATGGGTATATATATAGCCATAGTGATGACCGTCATCTTTATCGCCTCGGCAATAATATGCATCTATATCTGTAAGTTTATTAGTTTTTTTATATACCCTTTCCCCCTGAAAATAAGACATAACCTGAAAATAAGCCCTAGTATGATTTTTCAGGATGCTCGTAATATAAGCCTTACCCCCAAAATAATCTCTACTTAAGTGAAACCCTGCCCTCCACCCGTGTGCAGCAATCAGAAGAAGATGGCATGACTGTATTTGAATAAATGCAGATTGTTGTACATGAAAAAAAAACATACCCCAAAATAAGCCCTAATACGTTTTTGGAGCAAAAATTAATATAAGATCCTGTCTTATTTTCGGGGAAACACGATATTTATTGACTTAAAAAATGTTTCTAATCTATCTTTCTCATTAAAAAAGATCCAAGGAGGCTTATCTCATAAAAGGGCAATATTTAAAAGCTAATAGCAGTACGCTATAGAAATATTTAAAAAGAATTAATTTGTATCTAAAATGTTAGATAAAAACATTACTAGAACTGATGTAAATTCGACAACAACACAAACCATCCCATTTTTAAACCCCTTTCAGACAAAGGACACCTGAAGAGAAAGGTATTTGCCTGCTTGCAAAAGGACAGCCAAGATGGGGCCAGCCTGGCCTCCAGTGGGAGGGAGTTACAGAGTTTAAAGGAGCAGCCGGAGAGAAGGCTCTCATCTGCATCCCCACCAAATGCATCTGTGAGGATGATGGGACCTAGAGGAGGACCTCTTCTGATGATTTTAACATTCAAGCAGGCTCATCAAGGGAGATGCGGTCCTTAAGACAGCTTGGGCCCAAACCAATTAGGGCTTTATAGGTTAGAACCATCACTTTGAATTGTGCCCAGAAACCGATTGGCAGCCAATCGAGCTGCTGTAACGGTGTGCGGAATCAACCAAGATCTGGCACAGAATGGCCGGAGCAAGGAAGTAACTTCTCTTTTTAAAGTGCCACTTTTGGAGCACGGTCCCTGTTCAATAATCAGCTGGAAGAGAATTACTTTTTTTCTTGCTGGCAATGGCCATGCCTATTCCTTTAGTACAGGGGTCCCCAAAGCCCAGTCCGCAGCCTGGTGCTGGTCTGTGGGCTTCCCAGGACTGGGCTGCGGAGATTGATCTTCGCCCCCCCCCCTGCATGCACACATGGTGGGTGTGTCACTCTCACCTGGTGTGTGTTGTGCTCGCGTTCATGAGGGGCGTGTCATGCTTGTGAACATGCATGACACGCCCACCTGCAAACGTGGTGCCCCCCTCCACACACAGAGCCCGCCGCCCTAACTAGTCCATAGTTCCAAAAAGAGACTGCTGCTTTAGTACATTCTCAGTGGAAGGAAACTAGGTAACTCCTTGCCATTTGCTGCTGGCTTCCTTAATTGTAAAATTGCTTATACTGTAACTGAGTGTATGATTAATTCTACAAAAAACACATCCAGTTTACGAATGTGGGATATTATATTTCTTTATCCCAGATTCAAAGCACTAGGAAATGGCCTGATATTGCTGCACAATATTGTGCCTTCCTTGCCAGCTAGAAAAAGGAATGCCAAGCTTTACATTGCAAAGGACTGCCTGAACACTGAAAACACCAATAGCGGTACTCATTTTACCAAGCTCAGAAGGATGGAAGGCCGAGTCAACCTTCAGCCATCTACCTGAGCCCATCAGGATCAAAGTGAATTTGTGAGCAGAGGCTTGACTGCAATACTGCAGTTTAACCTCTACACCCCTCTTTATAGTTGCCGCAATGAAGGAAACAATATTTTCTGAACTTTACTGACCATGTTGAGCAGTAAAACAAAAAGGGAAAAAAAGGAAAAGAAACAAAAGAAAATAAAAAACTTAAGTTTTCTTTGGGCTGAAGTCCTCCATAATGCATGACCCTAGGCTAAGGGTCCCTGTGTAAGTTTTTTGGGACCCCAAAACGACTTATGTTAAGAATCCTGAACCTTTTTCCATTAGGTGTTCTGCAATGGAACAAAACAGCTGACCTACGAAATGCAATGTATCTCGTTAGGAAGTTTATGATTTCCAAAGATACAAGCTATGAACAGAAGGGTGGTAAGTAATGAACTTAAGTCTGAATATTTCCAATCTTTTTCTGCTCCACCCAGAATGCATACCGAAGCAGAATTTCTTTTCAATCTCCCAGCTCAACCTGGAGAGCGCCCAAAGAAAAAGTTGTGTTACAGGGGACCAAGAGTCAACAGCAGAAGGACCATGGTCAGGTCTGCTTTTTTCATCTTAGGCAAATCACACAACTTCACCCCACCTCAACAGGAAGTCCATAACAACTCTGGGTCATGCACTGGTAATCCTGAGGATAGATTACTGCGATGCTCTCTACATGAGGCTACCCTTGAAGGGGATGCAGAAGCTGCAGGAAGTGCAAAAGCAGCATCCAGGATGGTGGCTGGAACATCAAGATACGATCGTATACCACCTGCCCTGGTGTTTCCACTGGCTCTTGGTATGCCCCCAGGCCATATTCAAGGTGCTTATGGTGACCTTTAAAGCCATAAATGGTTTAGGAGGACCTTGATACTTGTCCGAGCGGCTCTCCCTCAGAATGACCACCCATCCCACCTTCACCTCATATACTGGGATATCACAGGTGGCCATCCCAAGGGAGGCATGGAAATGGGTGGCTTCTCTCTGGTGGCTGCATAGTTACGGAATTTGCTCCCAATAGAGGCTTCCCTCTTCCTCCCCGGCTTCAGAAAACAAATCATGGCTCCTTACACAGGCCTCCCATAGCCTTACCCCGAACTAAAGCCCCTTTTAATTCTGTGTGTTTGTATGTGTGTGTGTATATATAGAGAGAGTGGTCTTAACCGACCAGATAGGCGGGATATAAATAAAATAAATAAAAATTAAAAAATATACTGTGTATATATATGTGTGTGTGTATTGTATATATATGTGTGTGTATATATGTATTATATATACACACACATACACACAAACATATTTTCAAAGTGCTGATGGTGACCTTTAAAGCCATAAATGGTTTAGGAGGACCTTGATACTTGTCTGAGCGGCTCTCCCCAACCTTCACACCTTGACCTCATATACTGGCATATTAGAAATTGCCATCCTGAGGGAGGCCCAGAAATCAGTTATGCAAAACTGGGCCTTCTCTGTGGGGGCTGCATCTTTATGGAACTCCTTCCGGATCAGGGTTTCCCACTCCGTGGCTTCAAAAAAACGACTCAAAACGTGGCTCTTCACAAAGGCCTCCCAGAGTCTTATCCCAGACTAATCTGGTTCTTTTGATCACCTATACTCTGCAAATTTTGAAATAATTGTTGCTGTTTTTCTGCCATCTCCTGTGTCTTTGTACTGTAATTTTTTTGTATGTATACTTTTTTGCATTAGTTATTCTTGGGTTGACTCGGGCGTGTCGTGAGAATGTCATGAGATTCCAAAAGATCTCCTGTATGGAGAATTAGTGCAGGGAAATCGCCCCAGAGGGAGACCACAGCTGCAATACAAGGAGATCTGCAAGCGGGATCTGAAGGCCTTAGGAATAGACCTAAACAGATGGGAAACCTTGACCTCTGAGTGTTCAGCCTGGAGGCAGGCGGTGCATCATGGCCTCTTCCAATATTAAGAAACCCTTGTCCAGCAGGCCGAGGCAAAAGGGCAGTCACGAAAGCAGCCAAATCAGGGGAGCTGGACAGGGGAGAGACTGTATTTGTCTTCAGTGCGGAAGGGACAGTCACTCTCGAATTGTCCTTCTCAGCCACACTAGACGCTGTTCCAATACCCCCATACAAAGCACATTACCATAGTCCCTCGAGACTGAAGGATGCCTACTAAGACTATTCTTGGGGATTTGGTTTTGTGTGATGTTTTACTCGTTTGGTACTGTAGCTTTATCATATGTTTTTCATTACATTATGAGCAGTGGCCTGGCCACTAGATGGATAAAAGGAAGAAAGGAAGGAAGACTCAATCAATCAATCAAACTTCCCTGTCCCCTGCAAATGATACTTCTTAGGCAACACAGTGCCAATATTCTGCAGGAGCAGACAAAACAGCTGTAATATGTGTAGAAAACATTGTAGACTCCTCTGTTAGAGGAAAGGGTGGAAAATGGTGAACTTTTTGATAGTATCTCTTTCTTTGAAAAGTAGTGCAGGAGTTCATGGAAATCTTTCTTAAAGGGGATGGGTGAGTTTACAGGCCGCTGAATTCTCTGCATTGAACTGAACAGATTTCATGGGTCTTTAAAGCTCATGTGTCTGAATTAGACCTGTGACTGAGAGGCAGAATGGTTGGGCTGAAGGCTGCATTTACTATGGAAAAGTGGGCAGTGGTTATAGAAGAATGGCTACTTTGGACACTTGGAGAAACATGACCAATTCTTTCAGTTTTTCCACCAAGGACTTGGTTTCCAGCCCCCTGACCATCCTCGTTGCCTTCCTCTGAAGTTGTTCAAGTTTGTCAGCATCCTTTTTAAAGTGTGGTGTCCAGAACAGGCCATGCCATGCTGTTCTCTGGAATGAAGGAAGCCTTCGATAGTGTAAGGCGGGGATGTCCAACAGGCCTACTCCGCGGAGGGAGTGTGTGTTCAGAAAGTGGCAGAACCTTCCGTGGTGCATGCGGTGGCTGCAGAGAAGGATGTGGCCGACCCACAGACAGACATGTGGGGGTGGTCGGTTGATGAGGCAAAAACACACTCTGACCCCTAGTGAAGGGTGAGGCCTGCCTGGGTGTGTGAACATGTCTGTTTGCATGGATGAAGGAGAATGTGACGGATGGAGGAAGCAGAAAGAAGGACAGAGTGAGGACTTGGAGAGATCTTGAAACTTTTCTCACCTTCAGTGAAAAGGGGTGTCTCAGCGTTTTCAGGAAACCTGTAAAAATCATGAGTAACCACGACAACATTTTTTAAATCCTTGTTGTTGTTATTATTATTCGTTAAGTCATGTCCGACTCTTCGTGACCCCATGGACCAGAGCACGCCAGGCCCTCCTGTCTTCCACTGCCACCCAGAGTTGGATAAAATTCATGTTGGTCGCTTCGATGACATTGTCCATCCATCTCGGCCTCTGTCGTCCCCTTCTCCTCTTGCCCTCACACTTTCCAAACATAAGGGTCTTTTCCAGGGTGTCTTCTCTTCTCGTGAGATGGCCGAAGTACTGGAGCCTCAGCTTCAGGATCTGTCCTTCCAGTGAGCACTCAGGGTTGATTTCCTTCAAAATGGATAGGTTTGTTCTCCTTGCAGTCCAC